GCCAAGTCGTGAATGCAAAGGAAAAGTTCTTGAAGGAAATTAAAAGTGCTACTCCAGTGAACACAGGAATAAGAAAGTGAAACAACCTTATTGCTCTTATGGAGAAAGCAGGCTGGATAGAAGATCAAACTAGCCACAACAGTGGCTTAAGCCAAAGTGTAATCCTGAGCAAGGACGGCCTCAACTCTCTTCGATTCTGTGAAGGCTGAGAGAGGTGAGGAAGCTGCAGGAGAAGCGATGGAAGCTAGCAGAGGTTGGTTCATGAGGTTTAAGGAAAGAAGCCATCTCCGTAACATAATGGTGCAAGGTGAAGCAGCAAGTGCTGATGGAGAAGCTGCAGCAAGTTACCCAGAAGATCTAAGATCACTGATGAAGGTGGCGACGCTAAACAACAGATTTTCAACAGAGGTGAAACAGCCTTCTATTGGAAGAAAATGCTATCTAGTACTTTCATAGAGAGAGCCTGGCTTCAAAGCCTCGAAGGACAAGCTGACTCTCTTATTAGGTGCCAATCCAGCTGGCGACTTTAAGTTGAAGCCAATGCTCATTGACCACTCCCGAAATCCTAGGGTCCTTAAGAATTATGCTAAATCCACTCTGCCTGTGCTCTATAAATGGAAAAACAAAGCCTGGATGACAGCACATCTGTTTACAGCAGGGTTCACTGAATCATTTAAGCCCACGGTTGAGACCTACTGCTTAGAAAAAAAGATTCCTTTTAAAATATTATTGCTCATTGACAATGCACCTGATCACTTAAGAGCTCTGATGGAGATGTACAAGGAGATGAATGTTGTTTTCATGCCTAATAATACACTATTCATTCTGCAGCTGATAGATCAAGGAGTAATTTTGACTTTCAAGTCTTAGAATTACATTTTATAAGGCTGTAGCTACCATAGATAGTGATTCCTCTGACGGATGTGGGCAAAGTCAATTGAAAACCTTCTGGAAAAAATTTACCATTCTAGATGCCATTAAGAACATTCACGATTCATGGAAGGTAGTCACAATATCATCATTAACAGGAGTTTGGAAGAAGTTGATTGTAACCCTCATGGATGGTTCTGAGGGGTTCAAGGCTTAATTGGAAGAAATAACTGCAGATGTGGTGGAAATAGCAAGAGAACTAGGAGTAGGACCTGAAGATGTGACTAAATTGCTGTAATCTCATCAGAATGAGATTACATAATGAGAATGGATGAGGAATTGCTTTTTTTTTTTCGAGACAAGGTCTCACTCTGTTGCCCAGGCTAGACTACAGTGGCATCATCATAGCTCACTGCAACCTCAAACTCCTGAGCTCAAGGGGATCCTCCTGCCTCAGCCTCCCAAGTAGCTGGGACTACAGGTATGTGCCACCACACCTGGCTAATTTTTCTATTTTTAGTAGAGACAGGGTTTCACTCTTGCTCAGACTGGTCTCGAACTCCTGACCTCAAGCAATCCTCCCTTCTCAGCCTCCCAAAGTGCTAGGATTACAGGTGTGAGCCATTGTGCCTGGCCAGGAATTGCTTCTTATAGATGAACAAAGAAAGTGGTTTCTTGAGGTGGAATCTTCTGGTGAAGATGGAATACTTCTGGTGAAGATGGAATACTTCTGGTGAAGATGCTGTGAACATTGTTGAAATGACAACAAAGGATTTGGAATATTAATTAACTTAGTTGATAAAGCAGCAGGGTTTGAGAGAATTGACTCCAATTGGAAAATAAGTTCTACTGTGGGTAAAATGCTATAAAACGGCATCACGTGCTATGGAGAAATCTTTTGTGAAAGGAAGACAACTTCATTGTTGTCTTCTTTAAGATACTGCCACAGCTACCTCACCTTCAGCAATCACCACCCTGATCGTCAGCAACCATCAACACTGAGGCAAGACCCTCTACCAGCAAAATGATTACGACTTGCTGAAGGCTCAGATGACAGTTAGCATTTTTTAGTCATTAAGCATTTTGAGTTAAGGTACATATAATGCATTTTTTAAATATTATGCTATTGCACACTTAATAGACTACAGTATAGTGTATAACTTTTACATACACTAGGAAACCAAAGAATTTGTGTGACGTACTTTATTGTGACACTGGCATAATGTGGTTGTCTGGAACTGAACCTGTACTATCTCGCTCTTTATATATACATATATGTAAATATACATAGATGTATGTATATGTATATATGTATGTACATGTGTGTACACGTGTGTGTATACTGAACTATTTGAAAGTTGCAGATATGATGACCCATCACCCCTAAATACTTTAGCTTGCATCTCCCAAGAACAAGGACATTTTCCAATATAACTTACAATACCAATATCACATCTAACAGATTATTAGTTTTTTTTTTGAGATAGTGTCTTGCTCTATTGCCCAGGCTAGAGTGCAGTGGCATCATCACAGCTCACTGCAACCTCAAACTCTTGAGCTCAAGCGATCCTCCTGCCTCAGCATCCTGAGCAGCTGGGACTACAGGTGTGTACCACCATACCCAGCATTTAAAAATTAAAAAAAATTTTTTAAATTAAGAGACAGGGTTTTGCTCTGTTGCCCAGGCTGGAGTGCAGTGGCTGGATCATAGTTCACTGCAGCCTCGAACTCCTGGGCCCAAATGATCCTCCTACCTCAGCCTCTTGAGTAGCTGGGACTATAGGCAGGGGCCACCACACCCAGCTAAGGAGATTAATTTAACATTGTCACCTAACATATACTTCCTATTTAGTTTTCTCCCTACTCCCTAAAATATCTTTTATAGTATTTTTAAAATCCAGAACCCAATTAATTGGGATGATACTATGAGACCTTGTGAAAATCCTCATCCTCAATATTTCATCCATTAGTTGTGGTGTCCAGTGATGATCCTTTCTTGAATGAATCATTATTTTTTTATTTTATCAATTTTTCTACATCTGTTAGCTGGCATTCTTCCAGCTTTCCCATCCACCACATCTTTCTCTCTTTGAGTAACACTACACACTTGTGAATTGTCATATTCAAAGTAGTATAACCCATAATGTATTTTTTAAGCTTAAATCACCCTGAATTTGGCCAATGGAAGCCCTTTCCAGGTGGTTTCTGTTTTCTCTTCATGGTTTCTGGCACAAGATATCTTTGAGCTCTCACCTTGTATTTTTCTTGCCCTAGACCTAGAATCAACCACTTCTTCAAAGACATACTTATACTGTGAAAGGTCATATATCCATGATTCAATTATCCAAATATTAAAAAGGTATACTATTTCCCTCCAATCCCACCCCGTCTGCATAGACAGGCAAAGTTATTACTTTTTTGTTATCCTTCCAGAGATAGTTTATGTAATAGAGCAAACACATGGATATATTCTTACCCACCCCTAATGCTTTAACTCAAATGATAGCATAGTAGAATTCTGAGTCTGTGCTAGTAGCTTTTTTCTGTCCTTAGATTCTGAAAGATGCCTATGACCCTACTCCCAAAAGATCAGGAAACTTTAGGCCAAGTCCCAAATGTTTCAGATGATAAAAGCTCAGGGAGAGTGAGGTATTGGTTAACAATACTCACATGCTAGTCTCTGGACTTGGATTGTTCCTCCCTCTCACCCTAGACTTGTTGACACCTACTCATCTGTAAAACATCACTCCCATGGGGAAGATTTTCCCTTCCTTAATGTCCCCAAACTAGGTGATGTCCTCTTGTTATAAGGTTTCAGATCATTACGCACATCTCCTTCCTAGCACATACATGTCACGGTGTTGAAATCTGTTTCTTGCCTCTGTGAGAAGAGGGACTACGTCTGTCTTGTTCACAGCTGGCACACAGTAGCTGCTCAACAAAAATGTGCGAAGTGAAACTTGAACCCACGCGGTCCAGCTCCCAGTCCACGCCTCTTCCTACCGCAGTCCCGCTGCCTTTGCAGAAATAGTTCCAGCTTGTAAATTTTAATTTCTCAATAGAAAAAGCTGGGAAGTCTTTCCATTTCCACCATTAATGGAGGACCTTAACAGCTCACCGCGAGGTGTGACGACCGCAGGAGGGCGTCAATCAAGAAAATGCCCCCTTGCCCCGGAGGCGAGTGGAGCCACACGGAGCGGAGGCCACACGAGCCAGCGCCACGGCTTCAATAGAAAACATGTGCAAAACCGGGTACCGGGCTGCACGCAGCTGCGACTCCCAGGCCCTGGGGGGAGAGAGCGGACGTGGAGCAGCTCCCACTGGATTGAAGATTGCATAGCCTTTGCTCGGTGCTGTAGGACCCGGGCCTCCCCTAAATTCCTGTCCGGAGTGGCTTCTGCCAGCATCCTCAGGGGAGTGGCTGCGTCCAGGGTCCCCAAATGAAATGGGGGGGAGCGGCCAAGAGTCTGGAGCACCTGAACTCTGGTCGTCCGCACCCCTCTGGGACGCAGCTAAGGGTCGTGGATCTTTCTCCTTGGAGCAGCCCTAGGAGCGCAGGGCATTCTCCGCTATGAGCTCGGGAGGCGCCTGGGGAAACAGCCAGTGCGACCGTTACTCCAGAAAGCGCACCAAGCAGGGAGGGTCCTCTCAGGTCGGCGAAGGCGCGGCCCTGCCAGCACCCTCCGCGCCCGCCGAGTCCCTCCGCTGCTTCTCGCCTAGGGCCGGCTGCCGCCACCCTGGGCCCGGGCCTGGACAGTGCCCCCGCACTTCGGCATACGCGCCTCCCGGCTGGGGCTAGGCGGCTCGAGTCCGCGCTCCAGGCTGCTGCTTTCCGCGCGCCTCCCCCGACGGACGAGGCCCCGGGCTTCCTTCGAGGGCGTCCCCGGCCAGAGTGCCTGGAGAACCGAGAGGCGACCGCGCCGAGGCACCAGGGCGCAGGGTCCCTGGAGTCAGGGAGAGAGTGCGTCCCGGGGGCGGGGAGCTCGGCCGGCGGGGCGGGCTAGGAGTGGGGGCGGGAGGCGGCTCCTGGGGCCCGCGCCATTGGCCGCAGGGCCGGGCGGCAGGAAGGGGCCAGCGAGCGCGGCCCCACCCCGCGGCCGGCGGAGCCTATCGCCGGGAGCGCGGAGCGCGGATAAATGTAGCGCCGCGGCGCGGGCCGGCAGCTCTCCGAGGGGCCGGAGCGCAGCGGAGCCATGCAGTACCCGCACCCCGGGCCGGCGGCGGCGGGCGCCGTTGGGGTGCCGCTGTATGCGCCCACGCCGCTGCTGCAACCCGCGCACCCGACGCCGTTCTACATTGAGGACATCCTGGGCCGGGGGCCCGCCGCGCCCACGCCCACCCCCACGCTGCCGTCCCCCAACTCCTCCTTCACCAGCCTCGTGTCCTCCTACCGGACCCCGGTGTACGAGCCCACGCCGATCCACCCCGCCTTCTCGCACCACTCCGCCGCCGCGCTGGCCGCCGCTTACGGACCCGGCGGCTTCGGGGGCCCTCTGTACCCCTTTCCGCGGACGGTGAATGACTACACGCACGCCCTGCTCCGCCACGACCCCCTGGGTAAGGCGGCCGGGGTCACGGCGGGGCCGAGCCGGGGCAGCGGCGAGGAAGGCGCCACCCGGCAGGTGGCAGCGCCTGGGAGGCGGAGGGGGCGGAGGGGGAGGCAATAGAAAGTTGTGGCAAAAGCGATTGAAAAGCGGCTCTCGGGCGCGCGCGGGTCGGGAGGCGCTGGCCCTGGCGGCGCGCGGCCGATGCTGACCGCACTGTGACTCAGATTGGTTTTTCTGCACCTTGCAGGCGTCGGGGCGCGCGGGCCGGGGAGACCTCGGGCGCCGTCGCCGGGTCTGGCGGTCGAGGGCAGCCGCGGGCCGCGCGTGTCGCCGGGTGGGGCCCCCGTAGCGGGAGGGACGGGGAAGGGGGTGTCGCGGCGCCCCGGGCCGTCCCCTGTGGGGCAGGGATAGCCGCCGGGCCCGGGTGGTTATGGGGCTGGACCTGGTTCAACAAGCTTGTGCAGTGAACGAGCCTGACCCTTTCCGTTCATACAGGAAACCTTGAGTTCTCGATAGGAGTAAATCTGGTTTCAGAAGCTGTTAAGTGCTTTCCTGGCTGCATGAAGCAGACCCTTCCCCCGGAGTAGTGCACGCTGCTGATTATTTTATCGACATCCTCAATACAGACAAATTCAGGAAACACTCGACTTCTGATAGCCGGGATCCGTTTTTCTGATATTGTTCATTTCCTCTGTGTGGGATGTGACTTATGGCAGCTAAAATAACCAGTTGCTTCCTATTTTTTTTTTTTTTCGAGGCTGTTTTGCACCAGTCTGAAGCCTGACGCAAGCAAAATCTCGAAAAAACAATGCTAGCTTTCAAAGCGTTCAGGCGCAGGCCTGCGGACGCACGGACGGACGGACAGACACCTCTTTGGAGTAGGAAGCTGCAGACCCTGGGCGCCAGTTAGGAAGGGAAGCGCGGACACACTGGGCATTTAGTACTTGCGGGGCTTGTCCCGTCAGTGCGCGGCCTAACAACAAATAAGTCACCCGTGATCCGCGCTGTAGGCGACCCTTGGCGCCTTCAGGGTCTGAAGCCCTAGGGTAAATAAGGAAACGGGGCGCCTCCAGAGTTTTAAATTAACTGTTATTGACAGCTTCAGTAGGGACCCTGGAGACAATTAACATTTTAATATCATCATTATTATGACGCAGCCTCTAGCTCAGTCCTCCCCCTTCCCTTCTCACCGTTAGAGGCATTGGAGGGGGCATTATTTTTTAGTTCCTTTTTTTTTTTTTTAAGTTATAATTTTATTCCAGCCTCGAGGGTTTCATGCTGCAAGCGGCCCCGGCATGGCCCTGATCGCCCGTTAGGGCTGGAGCGGGACCCTCTGCCGAGCCGGGCCTGGGGCGAACCTTTTCACAGAGCGCGCCCTGGGTTTCCTTGGGTTACTGCTGGGACCGCGCAGGAGGAAGCAAAGGGTTTTTCGAGATAGACCAACAGGAAACACATTGACGGAAATGTTGCCATAGCCCACGGGGTGGCTTTAACTGGCCGCCCCCGCGGGCCGGGTGTGAAATCAGAGGAGGCCGCAGCGCCCTCTGGCCAGGATTGGAGGCTCCTCGCGGGGGCGCCCAGGCCCAAGTGCTTCCTGAGGAGCCAGGCCTTGGCAGGGTAACAGCCCCGCTCCTCCCCAGCACGCACACACCAGGGTATTTGGAAGACCTAGGGGTGCAAAAAGTATAAATTCGAGAGCTGGTAAAAGAGTGTCATGGTATTTTAAGCCTAGCCTGTAGTGGGCATTCTTTTAGGGATGAAAAGATTTGCGTGTTTGTAAATAGCTATAGGTGTGATGATTTTGTGTGTGTCAGTAAGTGTGCAAGGGTGGTCTGTGTGCATATGCAGTGTAGGTGTGTGACTCTGGGTGTTTGTGTGTGTTGTGTCTCCAGGTATGTGTGTATATTGGTGGGAGCGTGCTGGGTCCATGTGTTGATCAGTGTATGTGAACCTGTCTGGTTGGGTGGCCTCCTGCAGGCCCTCTCCCCCTTTGTCACTCCGGGGCCAGGTAGGTCTGGGGTCTGGCCAGGCCACCCCAGGGCCAGGGCTAACTTCCCCTCTTCCTGCCCGCAGGCAAACCGCTGCTTTGGAGCCCCTTCTTGCAGAGGCCTCTGCATAAGAGGAAAGGCGGCCAGGTGAGGTTCTCCAACGACCAGACCATCGAGCTGGAGAAAAAGTTTGAGACCCAGAAATACCTCTCCCCGCCCGAGAGGAAGCGTCTGGCCAAGATGCTGCAGCTCAGTGAGAGACAGGTGGGCGCTCCCCGTGGGGCCGGGGCCTCTTCCGGGGAAAGGCTTCTGGGGCAGAGGTCGCCAGGCCCAAGAGAGACGAGGAACCACTGTGCGCTCCGGCACGTCCCGACGCGCTGTCCAGCCGGGTGGAGAGCTGTTTGACTCCACAGCCCCCATCCGCTTCTCCCCTCATCCCCAAGTCCCTCGGGATTCTGGGCTCGTGGCAAATGTTTCTTCCTCTCTTTTCTGCAGGTGAAAACCTGGTTTCAGAATCGACGTGCTAAATGGAGACGACTAAAACAGGTACGGACATGGTTCCGTTTCTATGGAAATAAATATTTTTATCATGTTATCTCAATGCGAGGCTGTTATGGGTTGTATGCAAAAGTCATTTGAGAGACTATTTAACCTCTTCACCTTGATTAAAAAGGCAAATAGTCTTGCTGAAATTCAGGATGAGTTGCTCAGGTGGCAGTAATGCTAAAAGCACCTAATGCAGTTCCTATATCAGTTATGCTTGGGTTTTCACACACTGGCTAGTAAAACTCCTAGCTAATTGTTTTATAAATCCCATATGTTGTTTATCTAATTAACGCAGGAAAGATAAAGTAATTGACAGTAAATGACTTAAGCAGTTATCTTTGGGAGAAAATTGTTTCTTTTATTTACACAGCCATAATAAAACCAGGCAGTACTCAAGGGTAAATATAAGGAAACAAACACCTTTAAGTCTTGTTTGCACTGTTTTTTAGAAGAATTAAATATCAAAGAGTTTAAAAATTATTTTCTATCTAATGCTAGTTCCTAAAATGAAATATAAAACATGTGAGAAAATATCCAAGCCTGTATGGAAAGTAGCTTAAACTTTCTAACAGTCTTTCTTCCAATGACCTTGTTACGCAACATGTGATAAAAAGTAAAGGCTAACAATAATTCAGCTTTTAAAGAAGCTCTATTGACGTAAAGCTAAAGATTCACTTTTGATGTCCTACTCTGAGTATGGTTCTCCAAAGTTGTCTGACAGTTTCTAAATTGTCATTTGCCAATGTATATATTTTATAACAACATATTTTAAAACAATGAGTGGGGAAATTTAAAGCAATGTAGATTTTAAAATTTATTGAGGATTAGTTTTTCATTAAAAACAAGATGGTATCCCCAAGAAAGAACATTTTGAAACAGAAAATAAAATTCCTCTAATTTCATTACTGTGACAAAATTTAATATTTGCAGATTCCTTGTCCATTTTTGACCGTGTACATCTATTTGTTACATAATTATATGCCTAGTGAATATATTATTCTGTAGTCTTGTTTTTAAAAAAACTTAGTATATTTTAATGATTCTAAGTAGTGTTTCTGTCCATTTTAGGCAAGCACGGGATCAAAAATTCACTGACTCATTTGGTTCTTGGTCAAAGGCTTGACTTTAGTTTATGTAAAATGGGACTTTTAAAATAGTGGTTTCTATGTACTATGGGAATATTTTCTAGAAATTTACCCCAGATTTTATGTAAATTGTAGTTAATTGTCTCCCTTCTCAGTTGGCAACATTATTCCAGTTCTGCATTTTTTCTTTGCCCTGATTTTGCATGTAGATGTTTATATTATTATTCTAGAAAATGAATGAAAAAAGATACACTCTAATAATTTTGAAAACTTTCTTTTTAATTCACCATTTAGCATTCTTATTCTTAAAATGTCTACAAGACCCGTTAGTTGGCAAGGTTTAAAATATTTAAAGAATGAAGATAGGGTATATCTGTACTGATCTGATTTTCTTTCCCCCTTAAACGCTTAAGAATATTGAAACAATGGGTCTGTGTTAAATAACCAGAATTGGTGTTCAATTGATATAATACATTTATACTTAACACTCATGACTGATTCTTACCTGCTAAGCGTTTAATCTTTCTCTGATGTGGTAGGAACTTTTCTCTTTTTCCAAAGTGAGAAAGAAGCACAAGTATGTATTTTCTGAATAAAAAGATTATAGCTGAAAACACTTGATAAACTAAAAATTAAAAGGATTGTGCAGGATGAAAAGACATTTTGATTTATGCCTCTCACCTCCGTATTTCATGATCCTACCAATCTCCATTTCCATTTCCTTTTATTCAGGAGAACCCTCAAAGCAATAAAAAAGAAGAACTGGAAAGTTTGGACAATCCCTGCGACCAGAGGCAAGACTTGCCCAGTGAGCAGAATAAAGGTGCTTCTTTGGATAGCTCTCAATGTTCGCCCTCCCCTGCCTCCCAGGAAGACCTTGAATCAGAGATTTCAGAGGATTCAGATCAGGAAGTGGACATTGAAGGCGATAAAGGCTATTTTAATGCTGGATGATGACCACTGGCATTCGCCTGGACTTGGGAATGACATTTTGCTGCAGAAAATCTTCATAGAAGAACTGGAAAACTATATGAGAAAGGGAACTAATTTTCTGATATTCTGGAAACCTAAAATATTTGGTGTACTGGGTAATTAAGAAACCCACATTGAAACTTTAATTTTGACTTTAGGTTGTTTTGATAAAGTGACTTTTTTTTTTTTTAACAAAGCCTCCGTGTCACTTGAATAAAGCGACTTTTATTCACAGTGGTTAAATTCACCCCCTTTTTAAAAAAGTAAGTTGTTATTTCTATTTATAAAAAGTAATTTTGAACTGTTGTTAAATTTTAAATTATAACTTTAAAGGTTTTAATAGGATCTTCTCAAATGACTTTTCTATAATCTGTATCTACATCTCACTTAATGGAAAAACAAAGGGGCACCTCAAATCCAGAGGTATGCCTTGGAAAAGGGGCCCACATTTCAGGCCGCCTTGGAATATTTTAAAAGGAAACATTCTTTAGTTTTATGACACTCTTACATTGTTGCCTTAAATCCAAAACCATTTCAGAGCTCTCGAATTGGGGATACGTATTCTTTTTGTCAGAGGGACAGATGAGGGGCTAGAGAGAGACGATAAGAATCTTACATGCTTGTTTCGCACTATCACTTAGTACCTGTTTGACCAAGGTGTTAAGGGGATAGTACAGTCCCAGCGGAGAAACTGACTCATCGGTGACTAAAATTAATCTCAGATGAACTAGAAGTCGCAGGCTAATTAAATGTAAGTAGAGTGTAGATATTGTGCTTTATCTCAATGTTTATAACGTGTGTAAATAGAATTGTTCCCTGTACAAAAAAATGGCCAATTTTTTTTAAATGAGTAATTTGTCTATAAAATAAATCCGTCCGTGGGACGACTGACCTCGTCGGACGTCTCATTCTTTGATTTTTAAAAATCCTGACACCTCTTTTCCTAACGCGCCTCCTGGGTGCCTGGCGCGGTGCTGCGCGCCGGATCTCGCTGGGGCTCTTGCTCTCGGGCCCCGGGAGCCCGGTTCTGGGCGCGGCGGCGGGTGGGCGGCTGGAGCGTGGACTGGGGCCTTCGCCGGGGTGGGGCGGGGCTGGGTGTGTGGGGCTCGGGGGCGGACCCCGAGCCGGGCAGGTTCGAGCCCCGGGCGTGCCAGGCGGCGGGAGGAGCCCGGGCGGAGGCCGGCTGCGCCGCAGAGCGCGGGGCCCCCAGGGCCCCATCGATTCGCCTCGGCCGCCGCGCTGGCCCGGGCCGCCGTCCTTGACCGGCGTGAGTCAACACCGCGTCATACCTCGGTGGCCGAGGCTCAGGAGCCGGCTCCGCGCGGCGGGGCCCGGGCCGGGGGGATCCGCATGGGGGGATGGGGGACCCCGGCAGGGAGGAGCGGGGAGATAGTTCGCGCTAAGACAGTGGTTCTCGAGCTCAGCGAGCTTCAGAATCACCTGCAGGGCTTGTTGAAAGCATTGCCCGCCCGGTTCCTAGAGTTCTGATTTTGGTCGGTCTGGGCTGGGACGGGGAATTTGCATTTCGAACAAGTGCTGAGGCGATACCAAAGCTGCTGGTCCGGTGACCAGTGCTTTGAGAAGCACTGATGTAAGTGCTGTTGTGTGGAAGAAGCAGACGGGACCAGCACTCCTCCCTCCCATCCCACCTGCAGGGCTGAGAGGGAGGAAAAGTGAGGGAGAGCAGAGGGACAGCGCCTCTCTAGGGTGGTGGTGGGAAGTGAGGTCTGGTGGCTGAGCAGAGGAAGGCCCAGGGTCAAAGAAGCAGTAGGAGGAGAGAGCTGAGATGACGTTGGTGTGGGGCTGAGGGGTATTGCCAGCCTGTATCCAACTGCTTATTACTTAGGCGAGCCAACAGGTCTCTGACATTCCAGGAAAACAATGACAGAGACCTGTTGGGGGAAAGGCCCAGAAATCTCTCCCTCTTGCCTTGGCCTCCAGGGAGGCCTCTAATTCCAGACAGGGCCTGTGAAGGAATGACCACACCCCTGGCCTGGCAGACCAGGGCTGTGGCTCCCCAGACAAACATGGAGTGAAAAGTCATTGCGCTCAGGAGTTTGTCATATTCTACTTCCTTAGATTCCAAGAAGGCCCCTGGAATTACAGGTGAATTTAGATTTCTGAGAAAATTAGTACTGGTCCTTAAGCAGAGAGGTGTGGATAGACCTGGAAGTTTGACAATTTGGATTGGAGTTTTAGTTCTTGGCCTCAATTCTCTCATCTGTACTATGAAGATGGTCTAGTAGTTGATCTATGTCCATGGCCCCTTCCAGCTTCTGAATTCCCAGCTCAGTTCCTGCTCTTTGTCTTTATTGTTCTGCCTTCTCCGCATGTCTCCTTATGTCTACTCAATGTTGGTGCCCAAAGTGGCCATCCAGTGGGAGAATTTCCCTTCCCATCAGCTGCAGGGTCCAAGCTCCAGACCCTGCCTAACAGGTTACATCAAGGCTTCAAAGGCCATAATCAGTCTCGTCTGAAAATGGGACTGTTTCTATCAGATTTTTAGAGAATGAGAAGCTTGTGGACCTAACATTGAATCAAAGTAATCCTGAAATCTGTGTGTGTTTTGCTTCTGGAGATAACCCCTGGTTAATGTTTATTCTTGAGAGTAACTGTATCATGACTATTAAGCAGAGAAATACAGGCTTATGTATTGATTGACATTAGAAAACTTGAGGGATGAAATCTTCTTTTAAAGCAGACAACTCCCTGAAACCAGGCTGTTTTCCAATTTAAAGTTTATCCTAACTCTTTTCAAGTGGCTTATATTCCAAATCCAAACATGTCCTTAAGAATCAAGAGCGTGTTAACTGGAGGAGGTACAGTATTCTCAGGACACAGGTGGGCATTAACTTTCCTAAAGTGTCCCATTGCAGATTGCCAATGAATATTTACAAATTCTTCTTACAATCCAGGCATTTTTCATTTGTTTGTCTTTTGGCTATTTCATGTTGAAGCAGCATGTATGACCTTTACAGCACAACTCCTGTCTTGTTTTTAACTCTTTTTATCAGGAGATTCAACTTGAAAACGGTTATCATTTAGCAGAAAGACAAACAGAAAAGCACATTTTTGTAAGCAAAACGTTAATGATTGGAAGAATTGCCCTAATTTCACCATGACAGTGTGTGATTAATCCCCTGGGTCATGTACTTATACTTTAAGTTATTCAGTTCGTTGGTCTTTGATATTCAGAATCCTTTCTAACTTAATAGGATATTGATTTTGTTGGATGATGTACTTTGACTCTTTAAACAACATCAATTTTAGGGATGACTAGCCTGCTCTGTAGTATTTTATTTAGAGAACTATTGCATAACATTTTTGACTTTTTATGGTTTTCTCAGGGTGAAAGCCGATAAGACATCTTATGGGAAAAGAGGAAACCATCTCTGATAGTGAAAGTACCTATTCTCTTTCAACATTTCTGACAAGCTTCTTTTTTTGTGGTTTCATTACTGTGAATATTCATCTTAGTTAATGGGGCAGGACAGGGATTCAAAACTTATTTGGACTTGGGGGAATGCATTTTTCTGGGGACAGAATGCATTTACCGAAATTCCCATTGCCAAGTGGAAGATGACATGAACTCAAAAGCTCACCCTTTTGATTTTTCTTTAAGATCTAATAATCAATGATCCTTTTAATCTGTGATTGGGGGGATATTTATGTGACTACTGACAACAGGGGACAGAAGGTGGAAAACCAATCCCCCAGGATGCTTCTAAATGGTTAGGAGTTCGGTATCCTGTAGTCTGAATAATCACATGTTGTACTGACATTTACTTTTTATTCCCCATTGGGGTTTTCTGACATCCTAGCTGGACTCTTTGCAAATTTAATCAGACTTTGTCCCGTGATACATTTTTTTTTGGTATTGTTCTTAAATCCAAATAAGAAGCACTTTGGAGACTCCTCCCACCCACCCAAATATCTGAGATCCCAGGTCTATAGAAGAGCAGCTACCTCTTCAGATGTGGCTGTGGGGACCCCTCTCTCAACAGAATTACCCCATCGGTGAGTGCGAGCAGGGCTGGCGGTAAGGCAAATGGCATCTCCTGCTCCTCCCTTGCTGGTTGGGGGCCGCGGGAAACCGAAACGTGCATTCCCACTCAGCCTCAGTTCCTAGAGTGGCGGGAGGCTCACCTGAGAGGAGGCATCAATGCCTGGCACACAGTTGGCGCCAAGTGTTGGCCAGAAAAGCTAGAAAGTCCCGATGAGTCTCTTCTTTCGAGACAGCTCTTTGATTCGCAGTTGCAAGCGGGAAACCTCTTCAGTCAGTGTACACAAGTCCCTCCAGACAATAAAGGGGGCAGCGCGAGGGGACCTTGGAGCTGGCAAAGCGTTTCCTGTCTGCGGAGGATCTTGAGTTTGGAGCATCCGGCGGCGGTCGCTGAGAGGCGGCCCAACACTTTCCTGTGTAGCTACTGAAAAAAAAAAAAAGAAAGAAATTTACTGTCAGTTTATTTCAGACGGTTTTCCAGATGAAAGCCAATAAGGCCACTTCCCATTAAAAAAATTTTTTTTAATTAGGATTTTTCCAACCATTCATTAGATTCCTTTTTAATTTGGAAGGGAGTTTGGTATCATTGAAAAATCTTAAGTCTTCAAAATCTCAGCACTCTCCAAGGACTACTTTTCAAATGAACAAGAGCAGGGAAGAGTTAACGGTAGAGTCTCCTCCCCTCCCATTCAGAGATACTTGCAGGAAGGGAGATGCCCATAACCTCGTGGATATTTTTCTTTTATGATTTATGCCCTTCCATCCTTCCTCTCCACTTTTCCTTCTTTTTATTCATTCCCTTTCTCCTTTTCTCTCAGGATTCCTCATCCTCATTCAGTTTACTTCCCTTTAAGAACAGAAGAGGGCTAATCTCAACTTGTTAGACGTCACTCTTGGGGCCAAGATTCTCTTCAAATTTATAGAAATTTTTGAGGGAGATTTGCTGGAGTCCTAATACGCTGGTCCCATCCCTTTAGGGACAGGTTTTTGTTTTTGACCCAGTTAAGCCATAATAATGACATTAATAGAAGAGTAATAATCCCGGTGTCTCTCCGGGCCAGGAACTTGCACTGGGGCGTGTGGGAGCTGACCGAGATGCTGCGATACGCGTGGGCACAGGATTTTGCGATGGCAGCGTCGGCCAGGGCCTCTATCCAGAGAAAAGGCAATGGAGTGCTCCTCCGGGGGAGGGATGATCCAGTACACAGACTTGCAGGTGAAAGA